AAGATACTATCTGAAAGATAAAATAAACCGGTAAGTTTCTGCTCAGTCGTCACGCCGTCCTGTTTGTGAGACCGAACGAAAGCAATATCGCAACCTCCGAGCGTTTTTTCCCATCACCGTGTAGAGTATGAGTAACAGCAGAACAAGGGGCATTCCTATTTCGGCCCCTTGTTGATATCAACCTTCTGTCTGCTACGTATTCCTTCCCATTTTATGCAAACTGTACTTTCTCGGTATATCTCCCTCAAAAGCTGTATACATTAATCGCCGATGCCGTTTCCTTTCAATATATACCATAAAATTTCCTGATTAACGTTACCACTTGCCCCAGGAATTTTTCATCATCAGTGTCACGTAGGGATGGCTTTTTGTTATCTCATAAAAGAATACCAAGTACTCCGAATAGTTAAACACTTCTTCTTTAAACATGTCTAGAAAAGTCACGTGCAAATACCTGTTTTCTATTTCCCGGTTCGCGCGCCTGCTTGTCGACTACTCTACTGCAGTCACGTGCTCCCAACGTCACTGCTCCTCCATTGGCTGACCTTGGGCAGGCGCTGAGCCACGAGCGATTTTTTCCTACTGCGGCTATCTTGATCAACGTGGCGAGTGAGTGTTGCTGGTTCGTGCAATGGTTGCCGCTCCGCTCTTGGGGAAAAATCGCCCTCATATGAAAAGACCTAATGGAAAGCCCTGCGCAAGCCTGGGCACTGAGATGAACCTAATTGCTGCCACTCCGTTATCTGTGTGTTTTTATATATATGATTTAAGGCTGTCAGCAAGTAAGGAACTCTCAGGCCTGATGATTTCTCTTAGTGGTGTTGATCCCACGTTAAGAGGTAATGCATCGTCAGGTAATGCATGAAGTGATCTAGAAGCGCGTGGGTGAATTGATTAAATCATGGGTAAATACTGTCCCTCGCAACTCTTCTGGTTATTCTTTTTTCCTTGACAACATGCTTGCTTGCTTCAGAGCTTCAATGTGTACCAAGGTTATTTCTGAGGTAGTACGTGCAAGACTAATAAGGAACGCCGTGATAGGAAGTGAGGACAAACGTGTGTTTCACGCCTCTGTTGAAAACTAGTGAAACTGACAGACGAAAACTACGAAACAGAAGCTAAGAGAAGCATTATTTCTCGCTTCTCAACTGTGGCGTCATTACTATCACTGAAATTGAAAGAAATCAGTAAAAAAAAAAAACACCCTCGCCGTCAGTGTGAAGCGAATTCCCACCTTCAAATCAGCTATAGGTTGAACTTGGCTGTAATGGATTTGCACTTGTATGCAGCTAGCTCTGAACGTGGCTGCACAACAGGTCGGAACTTAACTGTAACTATAGCTTGAACATAGCAATGGTAGATATTTCTCAGTTTTGCAAAACCTGGTCACAAACTTGGCACGAATGCTGTGGTAAGAATAACTTTATTCTGGTCCTGGGGCTCAGTATGACTGATGCTGGCTGCTTCCACGTCGGGACAGAGAGGCCAAGCTCCTCTTTCGGCCCACAGGCATTCTGGAAAACCTCTGAGTTGGCCCGCAAGCACGTCACTGAGCAGCATCTGGTGCCACCACGGTTCACCTTGAGAAGCATCACTGTCCAACGCGGAGCAGCGCCAGAGCATGTGGTTTAAATTGAGCACCCCCTTCACCCGGGCCCCTCACTTAATACAATAGACCGAAGCACAGCAGTTCGATTTGATTTTATTAATGACGACCAGGTTAGGGTACGTCCGCGCCTGCGCAAGTCCTAAAGTAACCGTCGGTGGCCTGTTTAGTCTATAATGTGGGAAGGGCCCAACGTTTGGTGACCTTGTTGTAATTTACCAGCTGGTCCCCAAACTATGAAGCGGAAAATTCATCCACCGCAGGGAGTGCACGGCACAATATACTTCCTCATGCCTACCTGTGCTCAATATCGTTGATGTTACGCAGGGCTCCCACCAATGGCTTTATGTTAGCCGTAAACCAAGTAACTGTATGTGGATTACCTACCCTGCAGCAGTCTGCAAACAGGTTCTCAACAATTCTCCTAGAGAAGGCTTTAACCACAGAGCGAGAGTCACTAAAACATTAAAACTAAGCCGGAATCAATAAGTGCTACGGCAATAGCTACCTGCTCAGCGGCCCGGATCGATCATTGGTATAAACAGAAGTGGTGGTGGTTGAAAAACATGTATTGAGAAAAGTACTGAGAGTTGCACTACAAATGCACTTGCGGCATTTCGAATGAATGTCCAAATTTCAATGAGAAAGAGTTGCGCTGGATTCTCATTTTGGCACTGCTGGTAAAAGCACGAGCAAGGCGCCACTCCAGATCGGAGTTCCTGTACGCTGGATGCTTTTGACGTACAGTTTGTTTTCGCGCTGCGTTTTTCTTCTCTCCCTCCCTCGCTCTTCTTTGGGGAGGGGGGGGGGGCAAAGTTTTTTACGCTGTGGCTCAGTCCCTCCGTTGTAGTAGCCACTTCTTACTTTTCACAATGTTCACTAGATGGCGTACGTGATCACTGGTTGGCGTGGAGGCACGCGTTCCGTGTGGTTTAGTTTGATAGGATGGCGGACAGACATACGGACAGATGGACGGATGGATGGACTGATGTACAGACAGACGAACTGCTGCGATGACAGCCCGCGAAGCTTCGCCCCATTCACCACTATTCACTCCGTGAATATGCTGTCAATCGTTTTTTTTTTTTTTTACCACGTATTCTGGACTAGATCGTCGACGCCATTGCGTTCTCGCACTGCCCCGCCGCGGTGGTCTAGTGGCTAAGGTACTCGGCTGCTGACCCGCAGGTCGCGGGATCGAATACCGGCTGCGGCGGCTGCATTTCCGATGGAGGCGGAAATGTTGTAGGGCCATGTGCTCAGATTTGGGCGCACGTTAAAGAACCCCAGGTGGTCGAAATTTCCGTAGCCCTCCACTACAGCGTCTCTCATAATCATATGGTGGTTTTGGGACGTTAAACCCCACATATCAATCAAATCATTGCGCTCTCGCACAACGACAATTCTCGCTTACCGATGCGCTGTTTCTTCTTACGCACGTACTACGTAAATACGAACGTACTTCCTTTGCTCGTCTCATGGCTGTATCTGATTAAGGGGCGGAAACAAGCGCGGCCGGCGCAGCGGAAATCAGTAGAGCGAGATGTCCCCGTTTCTGGGCGCTGCTTAGCCGTGGCCACGTGGCCGTCGTTAAGCGATAGCAGATCAGTGGCAGTCACTACCACGCGTTCCTTGGCTTAATCTGATCGGGCGGCGAAAACGCGGCTTTTCGTGGAACGCTCGTGTTTTACCGGAGGATTAAAGACCTTTGCTATAAAAAAAAGTCAACAACGTATGTTTCACTTCGTGCAATATGACTGGCACGCACTTTAGTGAGTACAGGCATTTTAGCAAAATGAGAGAGAGCATTGAGCATGTATTTGGGTATGATTCATCGTAGTATGTGTATTCTAATTCGACATGATGCTTATGCGCAACGAGCATATTTTCCCTGTTGAACAATCAGTTCTAGTTATGAGGGTTATGTTCGTTTAAAGACTTCTTGGTAGGCGACTTGAGAAATTGCTGCTCATATCGTTCAAAGAGAATATGTAGCACAAAACGCTGCGAAGCAAGTTGTACCACTACAGCTAGCTTAGCCAATAACCAATAGTATAGTGAAAACATTCACGACATAGCAAGATTCAAGAAAGCTAACTATGGACGTTTGCCCCGCAAAGCTTTCTTTTATTCAAGACGTTTTTCCTGAATATCGGCCTCTATATTTTTTCACATAGCACTTCATCGTGTGTTTACTGCATTTACCTCATGGATTCAACCAGAGTGCATTCTCTTTCGTATCGCCAAAACAATTATATTGACGCCTACTACAACGCTCACTGCATGAAGTGGTAAAGTCCTGACTCCAACACCTGTGCTGTCAGGCCGAACACCCCGAAAACTATACTCCGTCTCTTAATAGCTGTGCGAAAGCTATAGAATCAAAGCACATGTCTGCTACCACCCCAAGAAATAGAAGCTAGGTTTATCGATAACTTTCTGATTTTAAAGTCAACAAACCTGAGCGACCGCCTGTAGACTGTGTGTGCTCCCCGAGTGTGCTCGTGATTGTGTGTAGCTTCTCATCTCTCTGCAACCTCTTTTCTCCCCTTCATCCCTTTCCCAGTGCAGGGTAGCAAACCGGATGTGTGTCTGGTTAACCTCCTTGCCTTTCCTTGCATCTTTATCTCTCTCTCTCTCTCTTCTGATTTGCGTTGCTAAAGTAAATGCTGCGTTATTTATTATGCCGCTCAATCATCTACAGGAACGCGTAGGTGAAATAGTTCACTTTATCGAGTGAACTATTGTTGTTCACTTTGCAGGAACGCCTTGCATTTCTTTCCATTTTTTAGACAACACCACCTTTCTGCACACCCGTTTTTTTTTTTTTTTTGACCCCAAGCTCACAATCTCGGGAACACTGATTCGGAAAATAAATGTTAAACAAGGTGTTATGACTTAGTGCATCAGTGTGTGGTCGCAAGCGTTCGATTCAGTTTTCCAAGACAAATACACTAGTATTATGACACTAAAATATGTCGTAAAATATACTCATAAGGTTACACGTAACATGATAATCGTAACAACCCCAAAATCAACACTGCACCATCGATATATTTCTCCCATTCGCATTTTACTTTCAAGACGCGTAAACGACGCGAGGAGGAGGAGGAAAAGGCTGAGGAGAGGAAACGACGCAACTTGTGCAACCATATATTACAGTAGGGAGCACGGCTCAATGGCGATGATGCGAGCGAGCATAACAGACATTGCGTAGAAACTTGCGGAAGCCCTAGCCTTCACTTCGATGTGAAGATCAGTTGCTGCCGAGTATCGGAGAAAGGAAACGTAAAAACATATAATAACCGAGTGATTCAGAAGCAAAAACGAAGGTCACGCGTCAGTATAAAGATACGAACGTGGATCACGCACATATTCTCTTGTTTGTGCACAGTGTGCATGGCGTCTGCATCGCCGGTCCGTGGTGTGAACACAGCCCGCTGAGGAAGTGCATACAACGCAGTGAGTTTCCCGGCGGGGGGTGTGGCTCCTAGATCCATACACCAACAATGGACTCGGGCAGGAGCAGGAACTGCAGGACGGCTCGTACTTACGCGAAGACCTGTGGCTAGAAGGCGACCCTACGGGACATCGGCTCACAGACATTCCCACACCTGGCCGCGACCGCGGTCATCAACAGGTTTCGCGGAAGACCACACGTGCCGTCTCGTCGAGTTGCATTCTCACGCTGATCCACATGGCAGCGTCCACATCAGCATCTCTATTTGACCTGTACCATCACGTGTGGTCATTGCGAGACCGCCGGATAGAAGGATGGGGCGTAGTGACCGAAGGGCGCCTCATCTTCCCGCTTTTGTTAGCCTACGTGTACCTGGGCAAGATCGGCGGCCCCCAATGGATGAAAAACCGTGAGCCATACAGACTTCGTTACGCGATCCTGACGTACAACGTCGCGACGGCGTTGGTTAACGCCTACTTCTGTTACCGGTACGCCAGAGCAACTTACTTCGGTGGCGGCTACAGCTTCTTCTGCCAGGGCATCAACAGGGACGGGCCCTCTGCGGAGGAAGCGGAGCTGAACTGGTGGTACCTGTACGTCCGCATCGCCGACTTCCTCGACACGCTCTTCTTCGTGGCCCGCAAGAAGTTCTCGCAGATATCGGCCCTGCACGTCATCCATCACTTCCTCGTGGTCCTCAGCGGCTGGGTGTGGCTGAACTTCGGTAACGAGGGCCAGGCACTGTTGGGGGTGCTCATCAACCAAGCTGTGCACGTGATTATGTACACGTACTACTTCTTGGCGGCGCTCGGACCGTCAGTCCGGCAGTACCTGTGGTGGAAGAAGTACCTCACCAGCCTTCAGATTGTGCAGTTCCTGATCGTCATTGTACACATTTCTATTCCGATATTTTACGACTGTGGGTATCCAAAGCCACTGGCAGTGTTAGGTGCCGCGCAGCTATTGCTCGGGCTCGTATTGTTCATGAATTTTTACCTCCAGACATACATCCGGATAAAGGTTGTCGATAAAAAAACGTCGCAGGCGGATGGCAAAATGAAACTGGGCTGAGAAAACGTGAGAGAATGACCATTCTGTCTTAAAAGCTGTCGCTCTGCTGATATTTTTTCCTGGTGAGCACAACCGCATTACTCTTAACCATTCGGCACTAAGAAAAAAAATTTGTCGAAAGGTCTTTACTGCCAGCAGCGATCATGGAGAGTCTCTAAGCCGGCTGATGCACGCTCGAAGCATGCAAACTCTCCGTGAACTTTTTTAAATAAAAATTGGCCTTGATCTCCTCCCATCAACTTTTGGTATATCATCAACAAACAGCGAGAGCTTCCCGAGGAGAGATCTTGCTCAGCAGTCTCAAACATGGTCCGTGCCCCCATCTATACCACAAAGACACAATCGCTGAGTCAATATCTGTGATATTGTTTTGCTTTCTTTTTTTTTTTGATCGGCGTTGAAGCCGCTGTGTGTGATGTGCCGTTAAGCTTCCTCGCTGGTCTTGTTCTTGTTACTGCAATAGCAGTTGTACGGATACTTTCTGTGTATGTTCACCATTGTCGGTGCCGTGAGGATCTGCATACAGTTCAAACTGATAACACTGCCGAGCACGTGGTAAGCTCCTCGTGCGAGTAGAAGCGTGCAAATGCAGCCTGAGATTGCGTCTCAAGCGGAGAAGAAGCACGTGTCTTTCGTGCGCGATTGGACGATCGGACGGATTGAGGAGATGAGGGGGTGGGTGGATGATCCGGTCGGGGGTTGATGCCTGGCTCCGGAAGGAACTTGACTCTGAACAATCTGGTGTGGTCGCGCGCGCTCCTATCTAGAGAGGAATCAGAATACGGCACATAACGTCGTGCGTGCTGCAGACGGCACGACGGTATCTTGATCGCTGCAGCGACACGTTCCCTTACACCAGCATTTTGTTGAGTTACGCCAGGTTACATAATAAAAGAGTTGCCTGTGAATTAGCTGTTATAGCCTTACTTTGTGTAACATGCCAATTTGTGTAAATCACATATTATTCCCCCGGACAAAATGATGAGTTTTTTTTGTAAGTACTCAACAAATTAGCGTCAGGAGGTATGCTTGAAGTTAGAATACATCCTTAAAGAAGGAAAATACATTTAAAATGTAATTCCCTGTATGCTTCGAACAACTCGGAAGAGTTTACAACACGCGGACGCCAGAACTACAACGCCCCTCCAGGTGCATAATCCTTCCTTTCCCCGTAAAGCAGGATAAAAATAAACAGTACAATATCAAGAAACTATGAAAACGGCTAGCAATCAACGTTAGCTGCCTAGTATTAATTGCTTCCGCTATTTAAGAAAATATCAATAAGTAGTGACGCTGCACCTTCTTAAAACATAGTACCTTCCACTGCTTTTCTTGCCTTAGTCATAATAATCAGCTGACCCAAAAAGGTTAACCCTCTGCTTGTCCCTCATTTTCGACGTCGTGCGCATTATTTTTCACGTCATTTCAATGTGGTTGCGTAGGAAAATCTTTTTTTTTTTCAGCCGATCTCGGACTACATAGCTGTAAATTGAGCTTGTTCTGTCGCTACAACCTAGACAAAGCGCATAAACCCGCGTATTCACCAAACGTTTCCCAGTGGAATTCAAGTGACGACGCTCGTCTGTACTTCATTCATGCACCAGGCAGCTTAGATCATGTAGTACACTCGATGTAAAATAAATTGTCACCATTTGAAACACGTTGTGCTTCATATGTACTTCATAAAGCACTGCTTCACTTTACACGTTGCGGCAGCTCCAACGACGGACAAGTACTTATGAATTGTTTCCGCTTTTTCGTGCACACATATGGAGATAATGACTGAATAAAACTACTCATGAAATTTTCATAACTTTTGAAATGAACGACAAAGGGAAGCGATTCAATCGTTTTATACGGCGCATTTCTCTTTGCGAAGAAGCTCTTCAAATGCACTTTTTTCTATATTATGATGTTTTATTTTATTGGCCAGAATAAAAATAGTGAATCTTCCTAATTAATTTTGTAATAATTACTGACAGAGACACCGTCACTGCGTTGCATATTCCCCCTATATTTTTCCCCTAAAGGGTCACTAAAGAGAAACAAGGAGATGGTTTAGATTGACAAACTGCACTATGATAACTCTAATGCCTCATGGTTCACCATCATAGTTTAATTATTAGCGGAGAAAAACAAGCCTACAAATACATTTTAAAGTCTTCCGCCCAAATCTGCCCGCGTGATATCAAAAATGTCAAAAAGTACTTTTGGTTTTCATGACAGTGGCCCGACAAAATTCTCTGGAACTTTGTCTGTTAAATATAAAAAACACACATATGACAATGTACTTCGTTTTTATCGATTAGAAGCTGCATAGGGACCCCGTAGACGTCTTTATGACGTCACGGTATTTGGTGCTAGAATCTCAACATGGCGGCTGCACCCATGTTTTCTTTTCGCTATACAGTTGACTATACTTCTCGTTTTCTCTCGGTAACAGTGGCGTTTTCGAGACTGTGAAATTCTCCTTTACTTATACGCAAAAAATCACAGCATATCCACGAAGTGAATGATGATGAGTGGGGGGAGTGTCCGTCCATCCGTACATTCGTCCATCCGTCCGTCCATCCATGCGTCCATCCGTTCGTCCGTCAATGGGTGCGTGCATGCGTCCATCCGTACGTCCATCCAGCGAACACTCCAAGTACCGCCATCTCGCATCTTTTCATCATATATTCGTCATATACAAGTACCACCATCCAGCGGACACTCCAAGGACTAAACAAGAGGTGGCTACCTACTACTACTACTACTAGTACTACTGCTACTACTACTACTACTACTACTACTACTACTACTACTACTACTACTACTACTACTACTACTACTACTACTACTACTACTACTACTACTACATTCATCGGAAACGCACGACCCACGGCTTAAAGAGCTTCACCCCTAAAAACCGTTTTCCTCTTCAGTGTGCCTTTAACCGTTTCATTGCGCAAGTAAAGCCCGAGACATGCAAACCTGTATTGTACCTCCAAACGCAATTTTCATAGACGTGCGCAATATATTTCTATTCAGACCGGAAGTGGGTACACGTGTGAGGAATGAATAATACATGCTACCGTAGCCCCTCCCACCTTCACCGCCTTTCCCTACGCGAAGGCTCGTAAGATACGATCGCATTCCCTAGTTTGTGCAGACACAGTTTTCGTATTTTTCTTAATCCAAACAGGCAAGTGTTTTTTTTTTTCCTTCAGGGTTTGTGAACCTTGTGTCCTCTCGTTTTTTTTTTCAACTTTCTTCACGATGATGATGAAGAATATGGCTGAGCTTTAATAATTGATTGATGATTGATACGTGGGGTTCACCGTCCCAAAACCACTATATGATTATGAGAGACGCCATAGTGGAGGGCTCCGGAAATTTAAACCACCTGGGGTTCTTTAACTGTGGCTGAGTTTTATGTAATGAGTAGGAATAACTAAACGACACGCTCCTTACGCGATTCGCGCTGTGTTTAGCATTGTAACACAACTCGCATTTTGAGACGCCTGTAGTTATTGTTATTATTTTTTGCCACGCTATATTAGACATGTTAACGTAATTTTTCTGAAGTATGAAGCCTGTATAACGTCTTTTTTGCGACGGAGTTTCAAGCACCGGCAATGCCTCTCCAACCATGAACCTTTCACACGTCACCTTCTCTAGTAAACCTCCATTTCCGATCGTGCACGTGCTCCAGCTGCAATGACTCCATGGCAAAATACTGGGATGCCGCGAAGCGAACCCAGGTTCGAACGTCGGTTCATCTTGGACATTTTTTTTCGTTTTCGAGCGGTAGCGGTTAGACAACGGCGGCGCCATAAACGGACGTTGTTGTCATGTCATAACATATTTCGCTATGAAAATGGGATGACACGTGCACATGTAACCTGGTCGCTTTGAAGCCAGTTGGCTCAGTTCCGTGACTACTGTAGCGGAGCATACGCACCAACGCGTATGCGCCGTCGGAAGAGAACGAAAAGAGCCCCGCGCTCCGATTGCACGAGAACCTGGGCCGCCTTTGCCAGAATTGCCGTATGGCCATTTTTCGTTGCGACCTCGTTGCGACTTCTCTGGTTCAATAAACGTCATCACATTTGGTGGAGGCTGCTGAGATCCCCCAGCAGTGGAGCTCCGCACTCGCAAGTGCCCGAGAGACCACCGCGAAACATGACTGACGCAATCGACAACCAGCCCATCCCAGCCCAGCCAGCACCATCGGCTGCCCCATCTACCTGCCCCGGCGCTACTCGCCAACGCGGCCCACCAATCTTCAGCGGTAGTGGTGAGCAAGACGTCGAAGACTGCCTCTCCTTGTACGAACGCGTAAGCGCCAGTAACAAGTGGGACAACGACTCTAAGCTCGCCTACGTTATTTTTTACTTGGCAGACGTAGCTGAGCTTTGGTTTACCAACCGCGAAACCGCCATTCCCAACTGGTCCTCCTTTAAGACCCTCGTGACGGAAGCGTTCGGCCGACCAGAGGTGCGCAAGCTCCGCGCTGACCAGCGTCTGCGCCACCGAGCCCAGCAGCCTGGCGAAACGTTTACGAGTTACATTGAAGATGTGCTCGACCTCTGCAGGCGTGTCAGCCCGTGTATGCCTGAAGAAGAGAAAATTTGGCAGATTCTCAAGGGCATCGAGGATGACGCATTCCAGATGTTGCTAGCGAAAATTAAGCCTGACCACGGTGGCAATCCTCGTAAGCCTGTGTCAGAGCTTCGATGAATTGCGCGGTCAGCGTTACATCGCCCGACAGAGTGTCCCACCGCCGGATTCGATCTCGGCTGTCGCACTCGCAAATGCGAACGTTCGCCAAGAAAGTCTGTCCAACCAGATCAAAGACTTCATCAGAGAGGAAGTCGCCCGACAGCTCTCCCTGCTGCCGCATAACGACGCGCCAACCGCAAGCCTGCCTTCGACACTGCAGCAGGCCATACGCACTGAAATTTGCGATGTCCTCCCTACAGTGCAGGCCCCTTATCCATGCACTTCAGTAGCATCTAATCTCTTAGCTGTGGGCTACGCACCACCTGCGCCATCTTCACCTCTCAGCTACGCATCTGTGGTCACGCGACCCCCACCGCATCCAGTATCCTTATCGGCTCCACCTCCTCCGGCCGCACCTTCGGTTTACAGGCCCTCGCCTCGCTTTTTCCGTTCATCTAACGAGTGACACACCCATGACAA